ATTATTCATGAGCAATACACGGATGTGACTTGAACCTGCCATTCAAGTCCGGGCCTCGTCAGCAGCTGAAGCAAGTATCGTATCGAGATGAAGGAAGTCTTTTGAGATATACGTCATGGCGGACTCAGCCATCATGTATCGATCCGCCGTCGATCGATCGTATTTAACCGTGCCAAATTATTCATATTTTTCTATTAGTTAATCATGTACTGCTTCTTGCATACAATTATTAATACTGTATTATCAGAACATTTCGGACCTGAACTCTTCGAATTTACTGCAACTGCCACTCTCCATAATGAGCGCACAATTTTTTGCTTATTTTGCGACTCGCCCTACGCTCTGCTTCACATTTGGCGAGTAGTCTTGCCCGCATGGGCCAAAGGTCAAACTGCATGGCCTACATTACATTTGTCGACTCTGTTGTTCTGGTAATTTGTAGTTTAGCAGGCGATGATTATTTAATAACGGAGGTATAGGTTATTGTGATAGATTCATGCATCAATTTATGATAGTCTGCATATATGTAAAATGATACGAAATGATGCTAACAAAGACTACTCCATCATATACATAAGAGAAATACTTTTTTTGTACAGTATACCGCGTCCTGCTGTATGTCCTTTACAAATTAAGCCCGCCACCTCGTCTCATTTCAGAGACACAGCCGTTACCTGTTGCCGATAGGGATGCTGGAAAATAATTATTGTGTCGTAAGTTTATCAGTTAACATTTGTTTAGAATTTCCATATAACCCACTTAAAATCTATGATCATCACAGGAGTTCAGTACCGCAATTATATCTGAGTATGTGTTCTAGTCTTCAGGGGAGCATGTCGTCAAAAATCGAAAATTTTGGCCTCTCCGGTTTCTTGGTGGCTCATTTTGTAGCTGCTGAAAAAGCGCGTCTAACGCAGCAAATCGCATGTATGTTCGTGCTCGAGTTTTTACGTAAAGCAATTACAAAATAATATAAAATGAACATTTTTTAACAATATGTACTTAGATTTCTTTAAATTAAATCTGTATTTATAGATCATTAGGCTCCTTAATTGCAAGTGTTCGCACTTCTTTGATAGCTGCAAACAAGACGTGTTCAACAAAGCAAATACCAAGGATGTACATGGAACAATTTTGGCGTAAGGCTGTTTTTAACTATTATAAGTAACAATTTTATAACAATATTTACAAATTTTCATTTAAAAAAATGCTATTTATAGTTCATTATTCGCATTAATTGCAAAGTGTTTGCCCTCGTTTGAAAGCTACAAACGGTGCGCTTTCAGGAAAGCAAATACCACGGATGTACATGCAATGTTTATTGAGTTAGGCCGTTTTGAACTTATATAAAATAATCATTTTAGCGCATTTTCACATATATGGAAAAAATTCCCTATTGTGCTCGTCATGTCCGTCCGTTCGTCCGTCTGTCTGTCCGTCCGTAACTTCACGTTTTCGTCGACCAGAAAATGCGCTCTCTGTCACTCACTGCTGCAGTGAGTACTGAGTTATATTTTTTATTTGTATTAATGTAAAAAATTCACATTTATAGCTTATTATTCACGTTAAACTGAACAGGAGTAAGTCTAAAGACGCGTGCTGGTACCCTATATGCAACCAATTCGCACTGGGAAAGCTTGGGCTATTATATCAAGCAATTGTTTGGCGTATTCTTCTTTTTTCAATAAATTTTACTTATTTCTATCTAATTCTATATTTTACTATAGGCAATGAATTTTTCTGAATGCAAGTTACATTAAATAACAAATTACATCGGAATTGTATTGTTAATGAACGTTTTCTTCTTACAGATGGAGTGACATCTGAAGACGGCTGGTCTCCTAATACTCCTGCTCCAGCGAGCAGCAACTTTCATCACGCAAAGAAATGGCGAGCAAGCCTAAGTCGTGGCCGAGTAGGCAGACATCACAATGTCCCTTACGCTCGCTACGCAGAGTTGCCATCCGCGGGAAGCTCGAATAAACCTGAAAACTATTACATCTCCCGCTACCCTGAGCAGCGACTCGCGGCAAACTGGAATGGGGCGCAAGATTTTCATCGTCCCCGATACTGTAAAGAACGGCCGGCAAGAAACTTTAATAGGCCGCAGGACTATTATCTCAACCATTACTCTGAAGAGCGACCTGCTAATAATTCCAATGAACCACAAGATCATTACTATCCTCGCTATTCTGAAAAGCGACCCAGAGGAAGTATGAATGGGCCGCATGATTCATATATTAACTATTACTCTGAGGAAGGACCTGCCAAAAGATTAAATGGCGTGCAGGATTTACATCAGTTCAATTACTCCCGAAAGCGTCCCGCAGAAAGTCTGAATGAGCCGCATGATTTCTACCACTCCCATTATCCTGAAGAGCGATCCGCCAAAAGATTTAATGGCGGGCGGGATTTTTCTTCTTCCCATCACTCGGAAGAACAACAAGGAAGTTTGTGCGCACCCCAGTATTTCACGGACGCCCGTCACCCCGAAGTGCAGCCCGCAACAAGAGAGGAACCGCAAAATATTACCGACCTCCGCTACCCCGTTGAGCAGCCCTCACAAAGCTCCCCTCGACTGCCGACTTGGGCATTAAATAAATATGATAATTACATTAAGCAGATGGAGGAGCTAATTAACAAACACAGGATTAGGCAAGTCAATGACCCGACATTAGCAATGGCGTCGCTCCATGCGGGACTGAAGAAGATATCGCAATACTTAGACGAGGAACCCAAGCTGGACCTGAAGAAATTCCGGGCTCAAATTACGCTATATAGGTGAACATTAAATGATTTTTCCTATGAAGAACAATGATAGAGGAAGAAATATTAGAAATTTCCGTTTCATCAACATTCACGCTGTACTTTTTTAGCCGATTCAACATCCATGGATGCTCTGCGACTCCCCCGTACTACGCCGCAATTGACTTCCCGTTTGTAAAGAAATTTGAATAAAAATAATAAATGTTTTGAATGTTTTCTTTCCACACCCTGATACCAATCAAAGTTCTCATTCGGATAAATATTCCTTCAGTTAGAAATATGAAATGTCCTGATTTGAATTTGTGCATGACTCTTTTCGCAGGCTCAAACTTGTACATCACTCATCCAAAAAGGGTCATTTCCTGATTTAGTTCAAATTCTGTGGGTGGTCTTAAACTTTTGCAAATGACTGTCCAATAAAATTTAAGGGGAGCGTCTGCCCCAAAATAAAAATTATTGACTTTTTTGGTTTTTATGCCCATCTTAAAGCTTACATTCTGATGCATCTGGCGGTACCAAAACCATCTCTGTACGTTAATTTATGCGTTCACGACAGATCGCGAAAGGGTTAGGGGTAATGAAATTATTTAACATTTAAGATACCGTAGGCCGAAATTACCGGTATAACACTTAAATAGCTAGTCTGAACACGCTGTGCTTCAGTTATCCGCCTGCAGTCGTACAGGATGGTTCTCGTGCCGTCGTTCGCACCATCCTTGACAGAACTTGAGCTCTAGTAACGTCTAGGCTTGCAACCTAGCACCCTTGAATGTCTATTTAGAGGCGCGTGCGACTTTGTGGGGCTCTACTGAAAAGTTAACTTATTGTCACTGCAAATCTATCTCCTCCTAGAGTTTTGAAGTTACATCAATGAGATATACCGTTCGAATCGCAAATAAAAGATCTACAAATGATGCAGCCTTTTTTCTAATTTCGTTATAGTTTGGATTTTATTCTGCAAAAAGGGAGGGGTGGCGAGGTTGAAATGAAAAAATTTCTGAAAAATGCTCCCATACCCACAAAAATGAGAAATTCAAAAAACCGTCTGCATCAGTTTTAGATATGGTCTTTACGCATCGAATGATATGTGTCTCGATGTTGTAGCTTGAAAATCCTAGGAGAGAGATTTCTACAGTACCCCTTTTTTTTTCTTTTTTTTAGGATTTTCAGTTTTTTTTTATTTTTTTTTTGAAATATACACAAACAAAAAAGTCTTTGAATTCCGTTTTAGATATGTGAACCGAATTTCGAATCGATCCGTCGATAAATAACAGATAAAATTTGGGGCAGACGCTCCCTTTAATTAAGTTGGAAAAATATAATAGTTTGATCGTCAAAAAAGAACTCTAAATATCCATGTTTATCCTTTCTAAATAACGTTAAACCAGCGTTTAATAACAATTCAGGTAACTGCGCATTTGTGAAGATTTAATAATAGCGGTATCAGCGTTTATTAGGCCGTAGGCCTGTCGCCGATTCTTAACATAGCAGAACATTCACAGCATTTTGAGGTTTCGAACTCGCAACGCACTGCTTCAATTCTGCTGTGCTTAACCGCCCGGCCTCCTCGCCGATTGTGACCAGAAACTGGCGCACAGAGCTGGGATCGAACCCGCGCCTCTCTGCTCCAATCTGGTACTCTGAACTTTAATCACTGGGCCACCCTGCCCAGTGGTCGAACTTTAACCACTGGGCCACCCCACATTGAACTAAAAACAACATACTGTAGCAGCCAAATAAAAACTTTAACATTAAAAATATCGTCTGTGTCATGTAGCAATATCACATATTCATTGTTGAGGTCTTAGGACACGATGCCATTTGATCAAGACTAGACACAATGCAGTTTTAAGTTCGATTTAGCTGATGGTATAAATGAAAAATCTAAAGATTTTGCGAAAAAAAGCCTCCTGAAATAATTTCGGCTTTCCGAACATTACTCCCGCATACCTACGTCTAAATGCCGGTGGGCCAGGTGATGCTTGGGGCTCAGAAGGTGATACTTGGGGCTCAGAATGTGATGCTTGGGGCTCAGAATGTGATGCTTGGGGCTCAGAATGTGATGCTTGGGGCTTAGAAGGCGATGCTGGGCTCCGGAAAGTGATACTGGGGGCTTAGAGGGTGATGGTGGCTCAGAACATGATGCTTGGGGCTCAGAAGGTGATGCTGGAGGCTCAGAAGGTGATGCTGGGCTCCAAAAGGTGATGCTGGGGGACAGAAAATGATGCTGGTGGCTCAGAAAGTGATGTTGGGGGTTCAGAAGGTGATGTTGGGGGCTGAGAAGGTGATGCTAGGGCTCAGAAGGTGATGCTGGGGGCTCAGAAAGTGACGTTGGAGGCTAAGAAGGTGATGCTGGGCTCCAGAAGGTGATGCTGACGGCTTAGAAGGTGATGGTGTAGGCGCCCCCCGCAGGAGCAGCGACGTAGAAGGTTTGCTGGCCGGAGTACTGCTCCTTGACGCGACTCAGGAGGGCGTCCACGCTGCCAGCTTCAACCAAGGTGACGGTGCAGCCTCCGAAGCCTCCCCCCGTCATGCGGGAGCCCAGCACCCCCGGCACTCCTAGCGCCGCCTCCACCAGCACATCCAGCTCAGGACACGACACCTCGTATTCATCCTTGAGAGAGTTGTGTAACTCAGTCATGAGTTTGCCGAAAGTTTTGTAGTCGCGCCGCTTGAGGGCGGCGACGGCCTCCTGCGTGCGCGTGATCTCAGTGACCACATGACGCGCGCGTCGTATGGTCACGTCGCTCAGAGACGCCGTGTGATTCTGAATGTCATCCATGGTCGCTTCACGTAGACTTTTTTTGCCCAAAACTTTAGCAGCAGCGAAGCAGTCGGCACGTCGGGCGGGGTACTCTGAGCCTGAGAGCGTGTGGCGCACGTTGCTGTTGCAGACGACCACGCGCAGGGAGTCTTCAGTGAACGGTACCAGCTCGCATGACAGGTCTCTGCAGTCAATGAGAAGAATGTTACCAGCATCGGCCATGCTGCAGACGAACTGGCCCATGATGCCGCACGGCATGAGAGCGAAGTCGTGCTCCGCGCGCTGACAGGCCAGAGCTTTCTCACGTGGGCTCTGAGCAGGTGACTGGGTGAGGGCCTCTAAGAAGCTGTAGGTCGCGACCTCGAGGGCGGCGCTGCTGGAGAGAATTAGCCCACGCCGGAGCATCACTCTTGGTGAGGGGCTGCTCTGACGTAGAAGGGCTGAACTCAACGTCACGAGGGTCGTCGGCACCCGCAGCCAGAGTCACCACCCGGCACTTCCCAACGTCGTCGGAAGGACCGCCCACAACCACCGTGTACAGCGGCAGGGCCATAGGGAAAACGAAACCTTCATTGTAATCGGTGTGTTCACCAATAATGTTTACTCTTCCTGGGGCAATGCCTGCTATCGTTGGTTATCGGTTTAAAGTTTTAGAAAACTTCTTCCGAGCATTTTCTATCAGTTCTTCTACTGGAACTTCTCGAGCAACATCCGCCATCGTCCGCTCTCCACAAATTCACCTGTCAAGATTTCCTGGAGGCGTAGCACAAAATTTTACTAAAGGCAGAGATAATCTAAAACTAGCTTTAGTATTATAAGGAATATCTTACCTGGACTTCACTCCACTGTCTACTAATTGGCCTACTATTCTAGACAAATACGTCCCTACTCCCTAAGCGCTCCATGGCGCCTGAACTTGTTCCGAACGCGTAATGAACTTGACTAGTATTCGTACGGTTCCCATAAAGTGCCATCGAAGCCTTAGTTAAGACTTAAGAGTAACATTTTTTACGCAATACTCAGCCATACATTGACAGGTTTGCAGTGTTTGTCGGACCACTAATTAACTGCCATGTCAGTTAGTCAGACAAATTTTGCTGCTGGTGTGATAGTTTTCTGTAGTTATTCACAGAAAATGTTTTCTCCATTGGTGATGTATTGCATTGGCAGCGATCGTCGTACGTGTTATTTCTGTCATCGAAAATACAAAACCTTCGGTGATCGTTCTTTGTTCCGGTCTATTATTTTATCAATTAATGAGTTACAACTTATTTTAAGCGGTAAAAGCAGTAGCAATTCTTCGGCCTAGCCTCCGCTGTTAAAAATTACTAAACCTACGATCATCATATATTTTTGCCCGACTGGTTTCTTTAAAGAGAGATGACAAACGGATCGTCATTAAACGAGATAACTTCAAGACTGCATTTAATCATGAGCGATGGTGCAGTGCACCTTTTTGGCAGGTTATGCTTTGGCAGGTACTGCAGGTTGCTAGTTGATGGTAATGCGGTAGGTACCAGAGTTATAGGTATCGAGGCCTTGAGTCTAGAGTTATGTGAGTAATTGAAGGACTTGGTAACGCTTCCCTACTTGAAGGGTAATTGGCCGTGAACAAGTTCAGGTAGTTTATTGGTGATAGTGGTGTAAGAGAACACATGAGGTTTAGGCCTGTGAACAAAGGTTAGACATTAGAACAGGACATGGTAAAATATTTCATCAACATCAGGATATCATCCGCAGAATATATACGAGTTAATTCCTAATGACTTCCACCGACACATCTCCGGATTAAGGGGAGCGTCTGGCCTCCAGAAAAACTTTTTTATTTACGGACGGATCACTTTGAAACTTGGTACACATATGTAAAACAAAAATCTAAGACTTTTTTGTTCGAGTCAATTTTCTAAAAAATTGAAAGAAAACGTGAAATTCATAGAAAACGGCAAAAAAAGGGGGTCCTCAAGAAATCTATCTACGCCTAGGATTTTCAAGCTACAACATTGAGAGACATATCATTCGATGCGTAAAAACCATATCTATAAAAGTGTGTTTGGTTTTTTTGAAATTCTAATTTTTGTGGATGTGGGGTCATTTTTATTTTTCGCAAAATTTTCGTCAAATTTTCGAGTCACCCCCCTTTCCGCCCCCCTTTTTGTTGAATATCTACCAAACTATAACGAAATAACAAAAACCCAAACACAGTTTTGTAGATCTCTTCTTTGCAAATCGAATGGTATATCTCTCAATGCTGTAGCTTGAAAACTGTAGGAGGAGATAGGTTTTCCGTGACAATAAGTGTGAATGTTGAGGAGAGCGCGACAAAGTCCCGCGCGCACCACAATATGCGCTCAATGTAGCATAGATACCAAACTAAACTTCACCCGAGCACCGCACGCTTCGATTCAAAATAGAACCTTCAACGGTTCTAGAGCTCCGATGTTGCCAGAGTCGCGTGAAGAAGGTTTTAGCTTACTCTTATTCTATGACTTACAGAATAATATTATTTAACCTTATTGGGGCTTAAAACTATTGTAAAATAATTGGAACATTTTATAGTTATGGACTGGCCACGGTTAACTGGCTTACGAAGATGATTATTTATTTTAGTTATTTGTGAAGCTATCGGCCAAAGTTCACGAGAATCGTCATATTTACTGTATTAACTATGCGACAAAGTACAGCTTTACACCTAATAATCTCAAAGAAATTATAATATCTCTCAGCTTGGAGATTATACACTAGAATATTATCTAACCACGACAGGACTCCCGGGCCAAGAACGGAATGTCCATAGTTGAGCAATAATCAAGTACTGGCACTTAAATACATTGAAGGTTTCCTAATAATACTTATAATCTGCGTGTTGCTTAAATCTAACAACGCGACCCGCACGGGTGGGTCTATGTACAGATACGGCTGGCGGTGGGTCAGCGGAAGGGGTTAACGATACATCAGGGGGTACTTTTACTGAGGGCTGCTGCGACCCGCTGGGAGGCGGACCATAGATCGTTCGTGGGTGGGGAATGGGAGGGGTTATAGGAGTAGGAAGGTTTGTAGGAGTAAGAGAAGATGTAGGAGTTACAGGTGTAAAAGTAGTAGTAGAAGTAGGAGTTGCGGTTAGGGGAGGAGAGGAAGGAGGCAATCGAGCAGGTTTTAGCCTATCAATAGAAACTGACGTTTCGCCTTGCGGTAGCTCTAACACAAAGTATTTCGGTTCTCGCCGAATTACTCTGAACGGGCCCTGATAAGGCGCTTCTAATGGTTTGCGGACGCGGTCAATTCGCAACCACACTTTTTGTGCGGACTGGAGATCGGCCGGGATACTAGCTGGAGGAAGGGAATGGCAGTCTCCGTCAGCAAATTTATGGAAATTAATCTTCCCCATTTCGTGTACCAAAGTGTTGATCGACTCAGTATTTGTAGGGTTAGTAGTGTCAGGGGTTAGAGTTTGGCGAGATATAGCAAGCGAAATATGGTCGTGGGTGGCAAGCGGCCTATCGTTCTCATACGGCATTAAAGTACCATGCAAGTTATCGCCGATGGCAGCGGTGCGGCCCGTCCATCGCGTCACGACGGACGGGCGCGAGGTGGACGAGTTTTGGGAGACACGGCCTATCTACCGTTCGGCGCCTATTGTCGCCCGCCACGGCCTGAATTTTTTACTGGAGAGCAAAGCAAAATTTGAGCAGTGAGTTGCGTGTTTGAGACCACAACAACCTGTGAATGTTCTGAGATGTTAAGAATCGACGAGAGGCCCACGGCTTAATAAAAGCTAAAACCGCTACTATTATTCTAACATGTGTACTGAGTGGTGAAAATAACAAGGGTGGCATCAAATTACTTTTATTGGAAGGAATTTACATTCAAAACGGTTTGAATACATTAAATTTCGGGCCGGAATACTAAAAACTGTTAAAATAGGTATGAATGTAATGACGGGCATAAAATAACTTATATTAAAAGGATTGGAATTACTTATTTATTGCTAAAATTTATCAATTTATTACAGCAAAAATATTTCAGTTGAAAAATGGTGCTAAGCAATATTAGTCGTGACGGCATTTTAATTGTCTCACTATAATTCACTAAGTAAAGCCATAATTCACTCTTGCCATCGAGATGATCTGATCCTTGGAAGCGCTCTTTAATATCTTCTATTTCGCTCAATTTAGAATAGTTTTGAATTATTAGTAAATTTTGTTGATTCGTGAGTATATAATGTTCATAATCTGCCATTTACACTTTCATTCAGAAGACTTGATGGTTGTTTTTTGCACAAGCTTTTTGTTGATTAGAATCTCGACATCTCAACGTGCGTTATAAAACGTTGAAGGATTTTCGGACTGAAATAAAGTATTTCTTCAAGTTTCAGTAGATCTCGAAATTTATAGTAATTAATAAGCCATAATATTTAATCTGCAATAAAGTTGTATCCTGTGATGTCGCGCATTCGTTGTTAAGAAATCGATGATATTATTCAGATATTCGTTGCAGGCGGAACTGCTTTGATAACGTCGCCCCCTAGCTCCTGTGTTGCGTGCCATGCATTTTTCAGTCTCCAGTCACCCTTCTTCCCGTCTTACTCAACATGTGTCTTAATGCCTGGCGTTCATTGGCTGAATGACTTCCAAAATAATTGTATTTCTTCCCAGCTTATGTAAAACTTCATACATCTTACATAAAGGAGTTGAATATATTATTTTTTGCTTTGATTAAATTAGAATTTTTTTCACCTTTCGTTAAATAAATAGTTGTAAATATACTGAAGTTTATTAGTGGCTTATTTCGTGTGAGGGTCCTGATGAGGGACGCCGTAGGACGTGTGAGGGTCCTGATGAGGGACACCATAGGGCGTGTGAGGGTCCTGATGAGGGACACCGTAGGGCGTGTGAGGATCCTGATGAGGGACACCATAGGGCTTGTGAGGGTCTTGATGAGGGACACCATAGGGCGTGTGAGGGTCCTGATGAGGGACACCATAGAGCTTGTGAGGGTCCTGATGAGGGACTCCGTAGGACGTGTGAGGATCCTGATGAGGAACACCATAGGGCTTGTGAGTGTCCTGATGAGGGACACCATAGAGCTTGTGAGGGTCCTGATGAGGGACACCATAGGGCGTGTGAGGATCCTGATGAGGGACACCATAGGGCTTGTGAGGGTCCTGATGAGGGACTCCGTAGGGCGTGTGAGGGTCCTGATGAGGGACTCCTCATCGTACGTCACGGTCGCCTGGTAACCGTTGACGTCCGCTGTGTAACTCACGGTCTGCTTACGACCGTCAGGCAGGAGGACGTAGTAAGATCCGTACGTCTCAGCACCCGTACGTTGCTCCCTATGCCCGTAGCTGACGTCACTTGACGTCTCATGGCCGTACGCAGGAGACTGGCCGTATTTGACCGAGTATTCGAACTCGTAGTTTGGTTCCGACTTCTTCAGCTGAAAAAAATTGAGTTGATAAACGCATGGAAGGCATTGGACGTACAGAAGATATTCATTCATATATTTTGTAGAGTGCCTTCAAATGATTGTGTTTATGTTGAATAGAAAAGGTTATCTCGAAATAGAATAATAATAGAATATAATGCATATATCTGGTTTATTGCTATTTGTGGGTCTACATGTCATTCAAGTTTATCCAAGTTAAAAAAATTCATTCCATCCTAGTCGGGGTCAAGAAATCATGTTTTAAGAAACTTTTTTGACAAAATTTTCAAAATTAAGAAAAGAGATAAAAATGTATAAAAAATATCACGGGTTGTCTCTATTGCCATAACTTCATAATTTTTTGATAAAGTAATGATGGATTGAAGCAATTATGTGAACTTACTGGCACATAAAAGTTTAACGAAAAAACGATATTTATTATTATTCCTCATCGTTTTTTAAAGTTTTTGTTGGAAACTGAAATTATTACTTGCACTGCGTGTATTTTTGGTTGTCGCGGTTAATCGTGGCCCAAACGACGCAGAGAAAACTTTCAAATGTACAGATACCAATTATTTAAAAAATATTTTTATGCGATACAGTAGATTTTACAGTCAAATCGCAGGCTTAGTTGTTACATTAATTCCAAGCACCCTAAGACGATTTTGGCTCCTTGCGTCCAATTCAAATTTGAACACATATGAAGAATANGGATTGTCAGGTTGTGTTACAATTAGCTTCTTTTCACTATAAAACCAGTAGTTGCTCCCTTTAGCGACTATGAAATCAAATGCACTAATTTCATTTCGTGTTATCTAACGATATAATATTCTGTTTAGAAAATAGACATACCTTCAATTTGTTCCTATATTCCTGTTCGGGTCCATCGGAAGAGGAATGTTTGGAATTGTAAAAATCGACCGCATTTTGCGAAGAATAAATGCTTGAGCTTACGTAGTCGATTTTCGGAACCACGTCGACAATTCTTGACACATAGTCAATTTTTTGGGCCACATAGTCAATTTTTGGGGCCGCGTAGTCGCCGTTTGAGGCCACATTGCCAATATTCGGAGCCCCATAGTTATTTTTCGGAGCATCATGGTCAATTATGGGGGCTATTTTGTCGATTTTTGGAGCAACGTAGTCAATCCTGGAAGCCGCGATGTCGATTTTTGGATCCGCATAATCGATTTTGGGGTCCGCGTAGGCAAGATTAGGGGACTCATTATCGTTCGGTGGATCATAATAATCAACTTTAGGCTGTGAATGATCATTAATGAGGTGATAATTGTTCTGATGCAACACAGAGGGGGAAGAGTTGGCACCGGTAGAGGTAAAGCGATCAGCTTCGGGGCTGGAGGTAAAATGAGGGTAGACTCGGTGCTTAGGAGGAGAATTGTCGTTGATAGAGGGAGAGGACTCATTTCTATTGGGAGAATAGCTGCTCTTAGCAGGAGAATAGTTATTAATTGGGGGAGGGGATTCATTTCGCGGATGAGAAAACTTATTAATAGGTAGTAAATGGTGGTTATTAGGATAATTATTGTCATGGATAACTGGTGAACGATCATTAAAAGGGGAATAATCAGATGAGTGGTCATTTTTAGGAGGCAGGTAATCTTTTTTATGAGTGAAATAATTATTTTTAGGGGTAGAATGATGGTATTTAGGCAGCAAGAATGGTTGTTGAGGGGGAGAATAGTCGTATCTTGGGGGCAAGTATCCCCCAGCGGGAACCAAATGCTCGTTCAGCCCCTGAGGTGAGAAGTAGATGCTATTCTCCCCCTTCTTCCCCACCGCGGCAAACTCCACTGAAGAGGACGACTTCCTCTTGTGGAGGATGTCAGTGATGGGGAAGGTTTTCTCCAGTGGACGATGGACGACAGGGTGGACGGCAGTAGACGGGTCTGTCAGTTCTGGACGGCATCTCGCAGCCTTCAGCAACAGCGACAACAACTGTTGGAAGAGAACTAAGTTGTCTGAAAGCTTATAGTGGCGAAGAGCTGCATGCCAATGCAGGTATGATGAAAAAGGTTACTTGGAGAAAAGCTCTCTACTTTATGGGTAAAGTGAAATCTGATTAACACTGTGAACGATGGAAAATCGTTCACGATATTTTGGTTTTCTTTGTTAGCTCTTTTAGTTTTCTTATCCTTAGTACAGAATTATATTAATAATTAATAAGTAATGTTCAGGGAGACCAGCTGCGTGACATGTACTGTCGACCTATTATCGGGAAATTTGTCTCAGAACGACTTGAAGTCGAGGATGTCGTTTGTCGTTTAATTTGTTGTGTCGTCCGAGCCGATCGGTACAGTTATAGCTCAACAGGACTCATGCAGTGGCAGCTGTCTACCACCGACCTGTTCAACCGCTTTTGTCTCGCTGTGAGCCCCTCCCTGGCTGGTCTAAAAGTTATCTCCACGTATTGTACCGCTTTGAATGTAGCAGAAGGATTTGTCTGTATTGAAGTGCCGCAATTTGATTTGAATAATTAAATTTACAATCACAGTGATGAGCTGTAAAACAGTGACTATTATTGCCAATCGTTCAAAGTGCTTTTTAATAAGGTAGTGGCTTGCGTTCAGCTCAAGGCGGCCATCCTAGGCGATATAGGGATGACAACGTACGGTTGTCACTTTCGGCCACAACGCAAAATCCGTAAATTTAGACCAAGAAGTTTCAGTTGAGATTTTCACATAAGAATATTTCCTGACAAGTATTCAGCTTGTGTGTGCCTGAGCAGCCATGGGATGAACTATCAAAACTTGGTCAAGTCCACGCAGCGGTCGATGTCATGTCGGCGATTAGTGGGTTGAGCTTGAAATGCCGGCAGTGTTTGACTGACGGGGTAACAAACTACATTTGATTGCACGGCCCAGGTTTTCAATCAATCAGTCCCAGAGCTTACAATCGTCGTGGAGTATTAAAGTAATTACTAAACAACTGCAAACACTTAAAAGGGACTTTGAAAAAATGCCCAAAACGCACGAGTAAAAATTTCTAGGTACGAAAATCTGTAAAAACAGATACGTTGCAAGAATTTATAATTTATTTGGAATAACAACGCAGGGAATTGCAGGGACACCAATAGGTTTTAAGGACAGGAAGGCTAAGCCCCCAGGAGATGTACAGGATGTGAAAGAACGTTCAATTTTACAAACGGCTAGTATCTTCAGTGCAGTAAAAAAACAAGCACAAGAAGTCATATATGTTTACATCATTAACATATTCAGACCACATCATATTGAAAATTTCGGCAATTATTTGTATAAAAACAACGCATAATATTTTTATACATGAAAAAGACAATATTAAAAGGGCGAATGAATATTTTAGGCGTTCCGCTGAAGCCCTCCTTAACATTGGCCTACTGACGTCACTCTGGAAATGCAAGCACGTAATTTGCAAGCACACCAACAACTCACCAGCATAAGTTGATCAGGATTATTGAGGTGAAAATATTATTCGTCTCCAAACAATAATGTGTTATCATTTGGTTTCAGGGCTGCAATTGCTCGTTATTTAAAAAATTTTCGGTAGTGAAGATAAGAAAATACCAGCATCGGAGCAAGCCTCTCTTGAGGACCAACGATCAAATATAAACAATTATATTACTCAACCAACTCTGGACAAGGAAGAACATCCAATGCGCTCTTTGGAAACATCATGACAAGTAACAAATGGGTCTCCCGAATCGACGTTCTTTACGATGATGTCAAGCTTTGATTGCAAAACTTATTGAAATGCATCTCTTAATGCACAATTGTTGTCAATGTTAATCAAGTACTTGAATTGAACGTTTCTTCTGACCATTCCTGTCCACTGAATCCCATTGTCTCACAATCAAGTTATTGATGCAGATTAAATAAATTCGATGAAAGATTCAAACGAATAAGGGAAAACCATCATGATATATTCTATCAAAGTGGAAGGCTGCTATATATACATAAATGAGAGACAGCGATCTCAGTCTAGTTCATAATATCTCCAAACTGCGTATTGATAGTTCTTCATCGACTATATGTTGTCATGTGTATATATAATTTGCATGGTAGATCGGAGGTAATAAAGAGAGGCTTGTTTCAATGTGGGTGCCTTCTTGTTTCTGTTACAGGACCGCTTACGAAGGTGTCGCAATGACAGCATGAAACCCATATTATTACAATTTTTATGTTTACAATAATCGCATAGTTCTATTAAGATGATCACATTGTTGAACTTCGATTCTCTCATCTGTGTCTGCTCTATTTTCTCTCATCTCTATCTATTGCGCTCTATTTTCTGATTGCAGTTTCGCTCATGGGACTGACTCGATTTTCATAATAGTTTAACTTCTGAACTACTGACGTCAGAATTTGTGCAATTGACGTATATTGGTTAGAACGGTTTTTTTAGTCCTTGTTCAAACTACACACTTTTCACAAACCTTAGGCATGTTGGCAACATTGTCGCACTAAAGTTTCAAGGTTCAATTAACAACAAACTCTCATCAGCATGGCCTGTTATCCTCTATCATCTCTTTCTGAAATGAAATATTCATTGAGAGGTGTAGAATAAAATAAAAATGAAATGCGAATACATGCACTAAATAAAATTTAAGGTAAAAATAGAATCAAACAAAATAACCTACATATAGACACGCGCGACACATCAATAGGTGTAAGAGGAGGGGGCCTCCGGTCAACATAGGTGTACAGTACTCGCACGTCGGTTAACATGGAAAGGCTAAAAGAACCTCCATAGCATTTCTCGATTTGTTTCCTTATTTATAATTGACTATTAAATATTTATTTAGCAGTATCACCTCAATAATCTAGGTTAACTTTCGAATTTTTAACTGTCTAAACCAGGGTTGAAATATGGCCTATTAAGTAACGGTCAAACAAGGCCGAAAAAGGCCTATTACTCATTATATACTAATGTGTATGTAGGTTCCGGTGTAAAATTTTATTTTTCTTTTTTCGCAATTGTTTAAATTTAACATGGATGTACCGCTATCATAAATTTTAATCGGGCAACGCAATTGAAAAAAAAAAACAAATCGCGAAATTTGTCCGGAAAAATACCATCTGGCAACCCAGGTCTGAGAATTACCCTGAAATTCACGCTTTTTGCAATATTAAATGGCTTGACACCGAAGAAGAATCCCTTGAACAAGATTCAATTGGCAGTTGTTCACATAATAAAAGTCATAATCAGATAACAAATTTCCAAACAAGTTCTTTTTCTCTC